ATGCCAGCCTATTTTTGAAAAATAGGGCCAAAAGGAAGCATTGATTACTGACATTATTTTCCTTTTTTTTTTTTTTTAATTTTTGAAATTTTTTGTTTGGAGACAGGGTCTTGCCCTGCTGCCCTGGCTGTAGTGCTCTGGTGACATCCTATCTCACTGCATCTTCCAACACCTAGACTCAAGTGATTCTCTTGCCTCAGCCTCCCAGGCAGCTAGGATTACAGGTGTGTGCCACCATGCCAGAATAATTTTTTTGTTGTTGTTAGAGACAGGTAGGGTCTTGCTATGTTGCGCAAGCTGGTCTTGAACTCCTAGCCTCAAGCAATCCTCCTGCCTTGTCCTCTCAAAGTGCTAGGCCACTGCATGAGCCACCGCAGCTGGCCTAACTGAACTTAAAAAAAAAATGTTATTTCCTGACTTAACAAAACATATATTTTGTCCTTTCTCCCCCTATGTTTGTATAGATGGGACGAGTTTACTCCTTTAATCTTTTTTGTTTAAAATCTTTTTTGTCTTAAAGTTTTGAAAAGCTCTGTAAACAGAGCTTTTCTATTTTTTTTTTTTTTTTTAGCAAAGACAACTACAGAAAGGAGCTTTTCTATTTGAGGCGGGCATCATGTTACTACCTTTAGCTTTGAATCTAGGATCTGTTTCAAAGGATAACTGGACATAGTAGCACACATCTGTAGGCCCAGCTGAGGTGGGAAGATCACTTGAGCACAGGTGTCCAAGTGTGTAGTAAGCTATGATTGTGCCACTGCACTCCATCCTGGTCAACAGAGTAAGACCCTATCTTAAAAAAAAAAAATTCCTGAAGTAAAATCCTAATAAGAAATTGACTTTCACAGATAATGAGATTTGTATGTTTTACCATCTGTGTCAGGGTTTTCTAGCAGTGATGAAAACTAAGCAAGGAACATGTTAACTTCTTTACGTAAATTCCTGATTACCTTTGCTGATGAGAACCTATTTTTAAAAAATATGAATTGAGTATAAGCAACTTATTTAAAACATGAAATTCAATTTAAAAGTATTTGTTCTGTTATTTTTATGAAATTGTCAATTATAGTTATCCATTAGATCAAAACTGAGTAAAAACATTTTTTACACTGCCACCTACAACTTTATCTGCTGATGTACTTGCTGTATCATGATAAAATATAGAATATATTGTCTATAGACAATATATTGTCAATATAGACATGATACAATATATTGTCTTTAGAGATGACCAAGTCATAAAACTATTACCAAGAAAAGAATGACAATAAGTATGCTCAAATGCACTTCTCTATAAATTCCAGTAAGATTTAAAACTTATTATGAAGATTTTTTTTCTTACACCTTCACTTCTTCAAAACAAAAAAATTATTTTTTTCAGAGACAGAGTCTCACTCTGTTGCCTGGGCTAGAGTGCCATGGCGTCAGCCTAGCTCACAGCAACCTGAAACTCCTGGGTTCAAGCGATCCTCCTGCCTCAGCCTCCCGAATAGCTGGGACTACAGGCATGTGCCACCATGCCCGGCTAATTTTTTCTATATATTTTTAGTTGTCCGGCTAATTTTTTCTATTTTTTTAGTAGAGACAGGGTCTCGCTCTTGCTCAGGCTAGTCTCCAACTAAGCTCAAACGATCCTCCCACCTCAGCCTCCGAGAGTGCTAGGATTACAGACGAGAGCCACCCCACACAGCTCCAGTTATCTTAAGAGTAGATACTGTGGTATAGTTGTTTCCACAGTACTGAATGCTGCTGTCAGGTGGAAATTCTAACAGCTATTTTCAGTCTTGATGTCACTCAGAGTTCCTCCATTTGGACTTATTTGGGTCATGTGCCTATCCCTCGGCAAGAGGAGGGCAGGTTGCCTAAGTTGATGGAAAAACCAATATTATATTCAGTAAACAAATTTGGGCTTCTTTGCCAAAAGGGAGAGTGGATGCTGGGCAGACGAAAACAATAGATGTTCATTCCTCTTATTACAAGGCCAAGACTAAATTTAAAAAATACAAATACATGGTATGGCAAATTATGAAGGTGGTAAGTATCTGAAACATACGAAACAATTATGTAGTTTATACTGTTCGTGTCTCTCCCAACCTTTCAACACCCCAAACTACAATGTTTGCTCATCATAGAACATTTGGGAAAATGCAACAAAAGGACTAAAAATTCTATCAATAAAATTTAAATTTCAAAAAAATCTAAATAATAGTTTCTTAGAAAACTAAACATACTGTATACTTACTATTTGACCCAGTAATTGCTCTCCAAACTCCCTAGGCATTTATCCCAGTGAAATGATAATAAAGAGCATATATCTGAAATGTACATTTCTACTTACTTTTGCATATAAATACTCTGCTTAGATCAAGATGTAGGATGTTCTCAGCACCCTCTTAAATAATGCCTCCCATCTGATTATTGACATAGATTAGTTTTGTCTGTTTTTGAATTTTTATATAAATGAAATCATATAAAATCTCTCCCCCTGAGCTAAACAATGCTAATGGTTGTATTCTCTCAGTGCTCATGCAAATATATATAAACACATGTACACATAAATAAGGGATATGGAGAGTGTGTTTGATTTCTAGAGCTTCCATAACTAATTACCAGAAACTTGTGGCTTAGAATAACAGAAATATGTTTTCTCACAGTTCTGGAAGCCAGAAGTCTGAAAGCAAAGTGTCAGCAAGTCCGCATTCCCACTGAGGACTCTAGGGGAGTATCCTTGCTTATCTCTTCCAGTTTCTGGTGGCTGCAGGCATTACTTGGTTTGTGGCAGCATAACTCCTATCTCTGCCTTCCTCTTCCTGGCCTTCTTTTCTCTATCTCCTTCCCTTCTCTTATGAGGACATTTGTTATTCGAGTTAGGTCTAATTCTAACCTAGGATGATCTCATCTCAAGATCCTTAATTACATCTGCAAAAACCCTTTTCCCAAATAATGTCACATTCACAAATATCAGGTGGACATATCATTTTGGGACCCACTATATAACCAACTACAGGAAGTTTTTTAAACAAATATAGGAAATCTAGATGTAACATAGCAGTTTTTTTTAAATAGCCATGCCTATAGGTCAGTAAATACAGATTTAAATTAAGTATGGATGTATGGATGTACAGTAATTTATCCAAACATTTCCTTACTCATAGACAATTAAGATGTTTGAAACTTTTGCTAAAAATTTAAAATATTTTATTTGGGAAGCAAGAATTGCAATTCAGGGCATACACACAAACCAGGGTTGTCTTTGGTATGTTGGAAGAATAAAGGGACAGTTGGCAGTTTTATTAGAAAGAGAAATGTGGGAGGCTGAGGGGGGGAGGGGGTATTGCTTGAGGTCAGGAGTTCAAAACCAGCCTGAGCAAGAGCAAGACCCGTTTCTACTATAAATAGAAATAAATTAATTGGCCAACTAATATATATAGAAAAAATTAGCCGGGCATGGTGGCCCATGCCTGTAGTCCCAGCTACTCCGGAGGCTGAGGCAGGAGAATTGCTTGAGCCCAGGAGTTTGAGGTTGCTGTGAGCTAGGCTGACGCCATGGCACTCACTCTAGCCTGGGCAACAAAGTGAGACTCTGTCTCAAAAAAATAAAGAAAGAAATGTGAAGTATTGTTTTCAAAGAAAGCTCATTAGCTCTAGAGAAGCTTTTGGGAACAGGCAAGCTCTCATTGGTGAATGACAAAACTAGTTGATTTATATAATCAACTTTCACAAGTATACATGTTTTTAATTTTTTGTTGTTGTTGTTGAGACAGAGTCTGGCTCTGTTGCCTGGGCTAGAGTGCCATGGCATCAGCCTAGCTCACAGCAACCTCAAACTTCTGGGCTCAAGCAATCCTTCTGCCTCAGCCTCCCAATTAGCTGGGACTACAGGCATGTGCCACCATGCCCAGCTAATTTTTTCTATATATTTTTAGTTGTCTGGCTAATTTCTTTCTATTTTTAGTAGAGACAGGGTCTCGCTCTTGCTCAGGCTCCTCTTGAACTCCTGAGTTCAAACTATCCACCGGCCTTGGCCTAGGCCTCCCAGAGTGCTAGGATTACAGGTGTGAGCCACTGTGCCTGGCCTAGATTTCTTATACTTAATACTTATACTTAATATAACTTATATTTAGTATAAGTATATATAACTTATTAGTATAAGTTATACTAATATAACTTATACTTAATATAAATATAATACTTATACTTAATATAACCCAAAAATATTTAGGGGGAAGCCCTCAAACTTCCTTTGGTGGACTTTTTTTTTTTTTTATGTTTCTAGATCTTTGGTGGACTTTTAAAAGAAATAAATTATAATATGTACATGGAAACCATTTGGGAGCCCTCGATAAGAAAACCAGAAAAGTAAATTGTAAGGTCCTATCACAAACTTAACACCTGCTTGATTTATGTAAAGACATATGTGGGGAGGCAGGGCAGTGCAGAGCCTTAAGCAGTATACAATGGTTTACCCATTTTTTTTATGTTCGAAAATGTACTAGAAAATATTCGAAAGAATAGATAGTAATACAAATGTTAAGGTTGGTAAGAGTCTAGAGGCATGAACTCCGCTTCCTGGACTCCAGGCAGCCGTGTAAACTCAAGTCTTAGTTTCCTCAACTTTACAATTGGAATAGCCCCTAATTCATAAGTTTGTTCTAAGGATTAAATGAATAAATAAAAACGAAACAAAATGCACGAATATTAAGCGCACTTTAAAAAACGCTAGCTATATTATTGGTTACCTCTGGACTGATGTTTATTGTATTGCTTACTCCTATGTTCTAAATTACCTGCAAATGACACTATTTTTTAAGAAAATTTATTGTTTAAAAAGAAACACCAGGTGGGGCGCGTTGGCTCACGCCTGTAATCCTAGCACTCTGGGAGGCTGAGGTGGGAGGATTGCTCAAGGTCATGAGTGCGAAACCAGCCTGAGCAAGAGTGAGACACCTCCCCACCTCTACTAAAACTAGAAAGACATTAATTAGACAACTTAAAAAAAAAAAAAAACAGAAAAAAAAAAAGAAAATAAAAATAAACACCCTGGTGGAATCACTCTACGAAAATGCAACGCAATGAAATCAGAAGACTGAGAGAGAGAAAAGAAAAACCTGGGTGTGTCCCTGCTTGGATTATAGGGGGGGAAAGGATTAAAAAAAGTATATGAAAAAGAAAAACCCAAGCGACCAAGTTGGGAGGGGAGTAACCATTTAGAAAAAGCCTATGGAGTTCCTCCAGGCCGCCTTCCAGGCCACTGTACTCTTCCGCTCCCAGAAGCCCCGTGTGGCGGAAGTCGTCACTCAGCAGAGACAGAGCCCACGCCGCGCATCCTGCACTAGGCTCGCCATGGCAATGGCCTGCGGCGGCGGCGGAGGCGGCATCCCGGAGGAGGACTCGGTGCTGTTCCGGCGTGGTACTGGCCAGGTGAGGCTTTCCCAGTGCCCTCCTCCCGGCCCCCGCACTCCTTTTCCAGCCGCAGTGGGGGACTTGAGCCGTCTGTGCACCGTAGAGTCGTGGTCCCGGTGTTTCTACATCTTTTCCCACTCCTCTCCCTGCGATCCCCATACCCAAGGTCCTTCCTCGCGCAGTTTGGGCGACCTGATGGCTTCTACTCGACGCCTTACCGCAACTTGACGATACCTTGGTTTTTCCACCCTTATCTGACTTGGGGAAGAGCCAGAGGGAAGGAAACCGGTTGGGAGTCTGTTGAAATTATCCAAACTTAGATCAAGGTTTTAGTAGGAGTTAAAGTATTTGGATTCCGAATATATTTTGAAATCAGAGGCAACAGGTCTTGCAGATGGAGTTGATAATGGAGGTTTAAGAGAGGAAGGTTAAGGATAACTCGTCCTGAACAGTTGAAAAGACGAAGTTGCTTTTTACTGAGATGTACTAAGATGGAGAATAGGGAAGATTGAAGTAGAGGAGATTTATAAGGGAGTCGATAAGAAGATGACTTGGTGGGGATGAAATCTGATTGAAGTAAGTTCGAGAGTGGGAGAAATTCAAAGCAGCATTTGTAAGCAAGTATTTAAGGAGTTTTTAAATTTTTATTTATTTATTTATTTATTTTGAGACAGAGTCTCACTCTGTTTCCCCGGGCTAGAGTGCCGTGGCGTCATCCTCGCTCACAGCAACCTCAAACTCCTGGGCTCAAGCAATCCTGCCTCAGCCTCCCGAGTAGCTGGGACTACAGGTATGCGCCACCATGCCCGGCTAATTTTTTTCTATATATTTTTTAGTTGGCCAATTAATTTGTTTCTATTTTTAGTAGTGACGGGTTCTCGCTCTTGCTCAGCTGGTTTTGAACTCCTGACCTTGAGCGATCCTCCCGCCTGGGCCTCTCAGAGTACTAGGATTACAGGCGTGAGCCACTTACTTATTACTTACTTACTTATTAATGTAAGTAGAAGATAGAAAAATTGGGCAGTAGATGGAGGGGGGAGTGAGGTAAAGAGTTTTTTGTTGTGTTTTTTTGTTTGCTTTCAGTTTTTTTGTTTGTTTAAGATGGGAGTGATGTTTCAGCATGTTTGTGGGCTGATGGGAAAGATTCAGTAAGAATGGGAAAACGGATGATACAGGAAAGAAGAGAATTACTGGAGCAATGTTTTACCATGGGTATGAAGATGGATTTGGCCTTTGTTAGAAACATTGGCAGTTCCTGTAGTGACAGGAATACAGATAACTGTGAATGGGCAGATTCAGTGGCAGGAGATTGTGAAAATTCTGATAGTGTTAGTGAAGGAAACAAAGTCATCAGCTAGGTGCTAGCATGGAGGGGAAAGTGTTGGAGGTTTGAGAAGAGAGCAGGTAGGGAGTAGTCCTCTAGGAAAGTGTTGAACTAGGGAAATTTAGTGGAACTGTTGATAGGCAGCATGAAGTGCCTACTTGAGATTTGTGGTCAGGAGTTTAAGGGGATCAGACAGCAAGATTGTGTATGTGGGTGTGCACGGAGTTAAGGGAGAGTTGAAATTAATAGGGTTGTAATTTTACCACGTGGATGTGAAGTGAGAGGGAGAGGTACAAATGAATTATCTTAATGATTGACCATGGAATTTAAGCTTGCTGAAAAAGGAAGTAAGTAAATTAAGACCTGAGGGACAGTTTAAAAGTGGAAGGATCAATATTTATTCAGTCCCAGTGAAGTGGAATGATTGTCATCATCAAGCTACTAGAAGTAACTTGCAGAGACTAGAAGGTGGTGTGTGAATACAGAGTAGGATTCTTTAAACTATTTATGGAGAGGTTGTAGTAATTGGTTATAAAAACCATAAAAGTGAGTGGCTGAGATTGGGGGATGTATACAAGACTGCTGCTAAAGAGGAGTTTAAAGACCTACAAATGTAGATTATTGGAAGGATCATCTATGTGGATTTATTTTTAATTTAATTTTTTTTTTCTTTAAAGACAGGTCTCCCTCTGTTGCCCAGGCTGAAGTGCAGTGGTGCCATCATAGCTCACTAAAACCTTAAACTCCTGGGTCAAATGATCCTTCACTTCAGCCTCCAGAGTAGTTAGGACTACAGGCATGTGCCACCACACCTGGCTGTTTGTTGTAGGAGAGGGTTTCGCTGTGTTGCTCAGGCTGGTCTGCAATTTGTGGTCTCAAGTGATCCTCTCGCCTTGATCTCCAGAAGTGCTGGGATTACAGGTGTGAGCCACCATGTCTGGCCTTTCTGTTCATTTTTAAATGTCTCATTTCCCAGTCTGGCAATAACAGTTGAGATGTGAAGAGTTTGGGTTGTTGAAGAGTTTGGTCTAGGTATCTTAGTTTAAGAGTGCCCTCTTCTATTGATGTTATGGAGTTCAGTTTCCTTTATCAGTAGTGACTTTTGCAGTTGCTGAAAAATTTAATGTCTTCTGATTTTGTGATTTTCTTATTTCTTCGGGACATTTAATTTCTACTGTTTACTCTCCTTCCTTTAGCCAAATATCCAAGGAACAGCTCCCCTTGCAAGTAGCAGTGTAACCTTTAACAAGTCAGTTTAACCTCTTTGTGATTACTTTCTTTATATGCAAAACAACTTAATGATTGTAAGACTTTTTATCATGTAGAGAGATTGACATTTTTACATTGGAACATACTTCTCTATATATGATGGAAATTAACAGGAAAATGACAAAAAGTAGTATTACAACTAAATGAACTTTATGGCAAACCTTTTTGGAATTTATTGATTTACTACTAGTATACCGAATCTAAGATACTGGTTGAAGGTGTTTTGTAACCTGTCTTCTCATCACCCAACATGATGTATCCAAGCTATCTTCAATTGCTCTATAGTAAGAATTTGATTCTAGTTGGACTTGTGTCTCAGATCCCTCAAATACAATGTGTTTTATTTTTAATTATTTTAAAAGAAAATCACATAACAAAATGTATCATCTTAGCCATTTTTAAGTATATAATTCAGTAGCATGTTCATATTGTTGTGCAAGAGATTTCCAGAACTTTTTTATCTTGCAAACTGCAATTCTGCTCATTAAACAACAACTCCCCATGTCCTCTGGTAATTACCATTCTTTCCTTTTTATTATTATTATTATTATTTTTTGAAACAAGTCTTGTTGTGTCATCTGGGTTAAAGTGCTGTGGCATCAGCCTGGCTCACAGCAATCTCAGACTCCTGGGCTCAAGCAGTCCTCCTGCCTCAGCCTCCCTAGTAGCTGGGACTACAGGTGCAATCCACCACAACCAGCTAATTTTTTCTATTTTTAGTAGAGATGGTGTCATGCTCTTGCTTAGGCTGGTCTCAAACTCCTGACTGACCTCAAGTGATCCTCCTGCCTCAGCCTCCCAGAGAGCTAGAGTTACAGGCATGAACCACCATGCCCAGCCCATTCTTTCTATTTCTATGAATTAGACTATTTTAGATACCTCATATAAATGAAATCTTATAGTCAATGTGTTTATTTTTGCTTCCATGCTTTTGGGGAGGGGAGGCGGAGATCATGCTTTTCCCCTGGAATGCTTTCTGTTTTCTTCTCTGCCTGTACAAATTCTGTTGGCTTTTATTTCCTAGGCCTATTTCCTCCATGTGATCATTCAATATACGTTAATTTCTTTCCTTTTTAATTAAAACATGTATTGTTTATATTTCACATTAATTTGTTTGTGTGTGTGTGACAATGTTTTAAATCCCTAGTTAGATATCTATTGAGAGCAGGTAGCATATTTTCATGTGTGTGTGTGTGTGTGTGACAATGTTTTAAATCCCTAGTTAGATATCTATTGAGAGCAGGTAGCATATTTTCATATACCTCTTAATGATGTGCACAGTGCTTAGTAGATAGTGGGTGCTCAAAAATATTTCTTTTTACATTAAATTTATACAAAAATAGAAATAATGATACTTAGGTCTTTTCCAGATTACTCAATATTACTCTCATTTAAAATGAAAATTAATTTAGTCATCATTAACATTTTGGGGGGTTTTTTGTTTTGTTTTTATTTTATTTATTTTTATTATCTCAGCGTGATTATTAACATTTTGTATCCTTATAATCTACACACATTATAATGTCAAGAGAAAAAATAATGTTTGGACCACAGTATCTATGGTTAGAATGGCATTACCAAGTCCTCAAACTTTTTAAACAGTTCACTGTCCTCAGACTGTTGGAGAGTGCAGCGCACATTCCACACACGTGCACTGTGGGCCCTGGGAGAGTCGGCTGCTAAGCAGGACAGGCATCCGCTGCAAAAACGCCTGGCAGACCGCAGTTGGAGGACACCTGGTCTAGATAAAGTCAAGTTGATGGCCAGATGTTTTCCCACCCTGCCAAGCTAAATCTTATCTTAGTGAAAATGTAGTTAGCCTTGAAGAAATCTACTCATAGTTGTTGGATAGGAATTAAATTGTGGGGGCATTCACTTTATGACATACCTCTTAGAACATTTACGTTTGTCCAGTTTTTTTGGGTTTTTTTGAGACAGACTCTCACTCTGTTGCCCGCCTAGCTCACAGCAACCTCAAACTCTTGGGCTCAAGCAATCCTTTTGGCTCAGCCTCCTGAGTAGCTGGGACTACAGGCATGCACCACCTTGCCCGGCTACTTATTATTTGGCCATTAATTTCTTTTTTTTTTTTTTTTTTTTTTTTTTTTAGTAGAGATGGGTTCTCGCTCTTGCTCAGGCTGGTTTCAAACTTCTGACCTTGAGCTATCCACCCTCCTTGGCCTTCCAGAGTGCTAGGGTTACAGGCGTGAGCCACCGCACCCGGCCATGTTTGTCCAGTTTTGAGGGTAAAATCACATAACCTCTAGACATATAGGCTTCTGTAACTTTATTTAGGGTTTATAATACCTAAGTATTTTAAATTCAGTATAATTTGGTTATATCTGGATTAAGGTAGCTTGTGGCACTAATATATGGGGTTTTTTGGATTTTTTTCCTGAGAGGGTGGTGTCTTCTTCCATTGCCCCAGCTAGAGTGCAGTGGCATTGTCAAAGCTCACTGCAACCTCAAACTCCTGGGCTCAGGATCCTACTGCCTTAGCCTCCCGAGTAGCTGGGACTATAGGCAATGCCACAATGCCTGGCTTATTTTTCTGTTTTTAGTACTATGTTTCCCCGAAAATAAGACTATCCATAAAATAATCCCTAGCAGGATTTCTAAGTATTTGTGCAATATAAGCCCTACCCTGAAAATAAGACCTAGTGATGGGCGTGGCTACGCAGCATATCTGCACAACCCATGCACATTTCGTCGTCACAGAGCGGTAAAGAAGACAGCAGCCCTTCTCATCTGCCCTATGAGAGCTGTATTGCTCAACATAAGAGATCGGGACCAGTGGTTCTAAAGGAAATAGAGTCGTAAGAAATTCAGGATGGAATTTGGGGTTTGGAGAGTTATGATAGTGTTCCAGAAGAAGACGACTTAACTATATTTGAATAAATGTAGATTGTTGTACCGTACTTAAAAAAAAATAACACATCCTCTGAAAATAAGCCCTAGGGTGTCTTCTTGAGGAAAAATAAATATAAGACCCTATCTTATTTTCGGGGAAACACGGTAGAGGCCGAGGTCTTGCTCAAACTGGTCTCAAACTAACGTGATGTTTTTGATGAAACCTATCTGAACATGAATTGTTTTTATTCCTTGCCCTCTCCAGAGTGATGATTCTGACATTTGGGATGATACAGCATTGATAAAAGCTTATGATAAAGCCGTGGCTTCATTTAAGGTATGAAATGTTTACTTTTTTTCTTATTTTCTCATGTTGTTCATTTGGAAAAAAATTAGTTGCTAACATACTTAAGTGTTAAAGTACAAGTCATTCAGTTTTCATTTTGAAGCTAGATGCTAATATAGTTAATTAAATCAGATATCTTCCTTTGAAACTTGATAGCCTATCTACGTCATCCCTTTTGAAGAGGCAATATAAACAAACTTTTGAACATTTATTTCTTTTAATATTTTTATATTGTGTCAAACTGTAGAAGTCCTCTAATTCAGATTGGTAGGAAAAGGACAGTCTGAATTATAATTTTAAATAATAAGCCTTTAGTGAAATATTATTGATGAAGACAAATACCAGTAGTGCAGTAATTATTACTTGTAGAGTGTTGACAATATTCTAAGCGCTGTTCTTAGTGCTCTACGTATAGTAAATTAACTCAATTCTCCCAAATCCTAAAAGTTGGATATGAAGTCAAGTGTTCTTCACGGTAGGAATATACAGTCCTTTAGCACTGTATATTTCCAGTGTAGTCTGGTTCTGTGGTCCAAACAAGACATTTATACAGTTGTCTGGCATCATCACCTTCCCTCCATCTGAGGTCTTATTGAACACCAAATATACAGAATCATCAATACTGTATTCATCTGACCCTGTATGTTGAGTCATCAGTAGTCCAGGCTAGGTTGAGCACACACGACATATATTCAGAACATAAAGAGCACCAAGTATGTGGAGTCCATTTCCCATATTTACTCTTGTGACATGAGGTAGGGATCAGACCTCTACGTTATCTTTGGAGCTGAATTGTAGATATTTTCATATGCTTTTCAGTATACACTGAAACTAGAAGTAGACTAAGAAAGAGTGACCAAGAGAGTTCTATAAAATACAGATTGAAATGGGGCTCAGTGTGGGATACAGTTGGTGATATTGCAGGGGGAAATAACTGATTTGGGGAAGAGATAGTTTAGTTTTAGCATGTTGAGTTTCAGGTATGTGTGAACCTGTGAAATTGGTAATTAGAAATGTTGGGCTGAACTAAGGAGAAAAGTCAGAGCTGGATAATAGCTTTAGAAGGCTGTTAGCAGACTGTTGTAATTGAACTAATAAGACTAGATGGCCTCAAGCAGGTGAAGAAGGATGGCTAGTTCTTGTTGGGAATGCCTAAATTTAAGATTTGATCTGAGGCTGGGCACAGTGGTTCATTCCTGTAATCCTAGCACTTTAAGAGGCTGAGGTGGGTGGATCACTTGAGGCCAGGAGTTTGTGACCATCTTGGGTAACAGTGAGACACTGTCTCTATGAAAAAAAAAAAGGTTTGATCCGGAGAAGTAGTAAAAACACTGGGGCCCTACATTGCTGTGTCATGAATACCAGAATAAAGAGGTGATTAACAGTATCTAATGTTACAGAGAGGTTGAAAGCAAGAACACTTAAAAAAGGATCTTTAGAGCTGATAATCAGATGTATGATGCCTTCAAGAGCAGTTTCTATAATGTGTGGGATGATGAAAAGAGGAAGTAGAGATTTTCTGAGGGGATGAGGCCTTAACATCAGTTTACAATGTTAACTGAGTTACATTGTAACTTTTTAAATGTATCACTCTGTAACATGTGTATTTCTATTCTTGTTTTCATAGCATGCTCTAAAGAACGGTGACATTTGTGAAACTTCAGATAAACCAAAAGGCGCACCTAAAAGAAAACCTGCTAAGAAGAATAAAAGCCAAAAAAAGAATACTGCAACATCCTTGAAACAGGTTATTTTATTTTATTTTTTTTGACACAAAGTCTCTCTCTGTTGTCTGGACTATACTACAGTGGTAGCTCACTGCAACCTCAAACTCCTGGGATAAAGTGATCTCCTGCCTCAGCCTCCTGAGTAGCTGGAACTACAGCATACCTAGCAGCATAATAGAATATTAATGATAAACGCAACAGCGGCGGCGGAGCGCACACGCGAAGCTTCCATTCGACGCGGCGAGCACAGGAACTTAGATAGGAGACCGACGAGAATAACCATCACAAAACGACGGTAATTTGTTGAGAAACGACTGTGGTATTTTTGAGGAGGTAGTCCTCAAGGCAATATTCCGGCTCTTGTCCTGAGTGTTAGATGATATGTTGTGGCATGCACAACCTGAAACAGGGTATTTTAGAATATTGAGATTTAACTTCAAAGGATTACTTGTTACCGTCTTTAGTAAATTGTGTAAATGATTTTTTTTTTTTTTTTTTTTGAGACAGAGTCTCGCTCTGTTGCCCTGGCTAGAGTGTCATGGCATCAGCCTAACTCACGGCAACCTCAAACTCCTGGGCTCAAGCGATCCTCCTACCTCAGCCTCCCAAGTAGCTGGGACTATAGGCACATGCCACCATGCCTGGCTAATTTTTTCTATTTTTAGTTGTTTGGCTAATTTCTTTCTATTTATAGTAAAGACGGGGTCTCGCTATTGCTCAGGCTGGTCTCGAACTCCTGAGCTCAAGTGATCTGCCCGCCTCGGCCTCCTAGAGTGCTAGGATTACAGGCGGGAGCCACCCAGCCTTGTAAATGATCTTTAACTTCAGTGATTAGTATAGTTATTTGTCTTTATGTGTATCATAATGTTTTTTGGTGTCTTTGGGTTTTAGTGTGACATAAAGTCTAAAATTTAAGCTTTTTTATCTCAAATAGCTGTAAGAATGAAATATAAGGATTAGATGAGATGAGTTATGGCTCCCAAGGCTTGTCGATGATAGGGGTCAATTAGTTAACTATTCCCTCAACCCTCCACTCCTTCTCCATACAAGATTATAGTTTGCCCCTTTAAAAGAAATTTACGTACATGTTTGTATCTTTGATTTCTTTTGTAGTGGAAAGTTGGTGACAAATGTTCTGCCATTTGGTCAGAAGATGGTTGCATTTACCCAGCTACCATTGCTTCAGTTGATTTTAAGAGAGAAACCTGTGTTGTGGTTTACACTGGATATGGAAATAGAGAGGAGCAAAATCTGTCTGATCTTCTTTCCCCAATGTCTGAAGTAGCTAATAACATAGAACGGAAGGCTCAAGAGGTAAGGATACAAAAAGATTCAATTCCTGGAAGCTGAGACTAGATGAGAAACTAAGCAGTAATACCTAGTTGTCAGTTTGATTCACTGAGGCATTACGTTTTTCTTAATGACACCTTTGTAACAAAAATATTTAAATTTTTTCCTTTTAAAGAATGAAAATGAAAGTCAAGTTTCAACAGATGAAAGTGAGAGCTCCAGGTCTCCTGGAAATAAGCCAGATAACATCAAGGCAAAAGCTACTCCATGGAACTCTTTTCTCCCTCCACCTCCCCCCATGCCTGGGTCAGGCCTGGGTCTAGGAAAGGTAAATCTCCTACTCAGAAAAGGTTTTCCAGGAAATAGTTTATATTGGGACTTTTAACTCCTCCATTAAGTGACTTGTAGCTTTCCCATGAAACGTTTGCAGTTCTCTTTATTTATTTATTTATTTATTTTGAGGCAGGGTCTCACTTTGTTGTCCAGGCTAGAGTGAGTGCCGTGGCAACAGCCTAGCTTCACGCAACCTCAAACTCCTAGGCTAAGCAATCCTGCCTCAGCCTCCCCGAGCAGCTTGGGACTACAGGGCATGCGCCACCCATGCCCGGCTGTTTTTTCTATATATATTTAGTTGGCCAATTAATTTTTTCTATTTATAGTAGAACGGGATCTCTGCTCTTGCTCAGGCTGGTTTGAACTCCTGACCTCCGTGATCTCCCGCTCGGCCTCCGGAGTGCTAGGATTACAGGTGGGAGCCACCGTGCCGGCCTGCAGTTCTCTTTAGATGTTATAAATACACTCTTGAGAATTCTTTGAAAAGGAATAAGATAACAGTGCAAAATGATTTATACTGAAAGACCTACCAAGTTACTTTTGTGGAGTATTGGGTATTAGAGTCATAATTTAGCGAACTTAAATAAGTTAGTTTTTTGAGACAGGGTTTCACTCTTGCTCAGGCTGGAGTGCAGTGGCATCAACAACTCCTGGGCTCAAGTGATCCTCCTGCCTCCGCTTCCCTAGTAGCTTGGACTACAGGAGCATGCTACCATACCTGGCTAATTTTTTTATTTTTTGTAGAGGCAGGGTCTCACTATTGCCCAGACTGGTTTTGAATTCCAGCCTCAACCTATCCTGCCTTGGCCTCCCAATGTGTTAGGATTACAGGCATGAGCCACTACATCTGGGCAGAAAGTATTATGATATGCTGTAGTTCCCATGACACCTATATAAAATATGTTAGAAAAAAAGAATACAATATTTACATCTATCTAATACAGACAGAATCCTGAGGATCTCCCAGATTGTTTTGTACAGTTAAAATATAAGCATTGTTTTCATTTATGGTTCTCTTGGTTATAAGTAACAAATCAACTTAAACTAAATAGATTTTTTTTTTTTTTTGAGACAGAGTCTCACTTTGTTGCCCAGGCTACGAGTGAGTGCCATGGCGTCAGCCGTAGCTCATAGCAACCTCAAACTCCTGGCTCAAGCAATCCTTCTGCCTCAGCCTCCGAGTAGCTGGGCTCACAGCATGCGCCGCTATGTCTGGCGATGTTTTTTCTATATATTAGTGGCCAATTTATTTCTTTCTATTTAGTAGAGACGGGTCTCGCTCTTGCTCAGGCTGTTTTGAACTCCTGACCTCGAGCGTCTGCCGCCGCCTCGCCTCCCAGAGTGCTAGATTACAGGCGTGAGCCACCACGCCCAGCCTAAACAGATTTTTATTATAGGTTAGGTTATGTCATGGAACCCAAGGGTATGTCCCTTTTTAGTTCTTTTGTGTAAAGCAGTGATTTGCCTGAAGAGTGTGGTATTTCAGCAGTAATTTAAAAATCAAGCATGACTCATCAAAAGTTTTTCTTAAGATTTTCTGTGATCACTTTCTTATTGAGGCTTATTGTATAACAATTTCTTGACTCTAAAATGATTAAACCTCTTAATGTATATCATGCTTCATTGGTCTCAGCTGATTTTTATTAGGTGAGAAGTCTGCTAGTTTTCATGATATATAATTAAGTTAGCTAAAAGGGTTCCATTCAAAAATTATATGATTTATTTAATGAAATTGGGGGATATAGTCTTATGATTAAAATGTCTTGCTGAATGCACTGTCTCTGATTTATTAAGTAATCACAAATCTTCCTTACTTTTGTTTTACTTCCATAATGTCTACATAGAGAGGAAATGAGAAAAATCTAGAGGTCATCATTTGTCTTACGAGTCTATTTGACTTTGGGATTTGGTACATGGAATTCCATTTAATCTTTTTGATATGTATAATACAGATATTCTGGGTGATTTTTTTTTACCCTTTTGATATTGAATCCTTTTATTCCTTTCATATTGATATCGCTAATTAATTTCCTTTGAATATTCTTTTAGGGCCAGTTAAAATTCAATGGCCCACCACCACCACCACCACCACCACCACCTCCCCACTTCCTGTCATGCTGGCTGCCTCCACTTCCTTCTGGACCACCAGTGAGTACAAAGGAATTCAGATTAAACTTTGATTTCATATCTAGATTTAGCATATAGGTGTGTACGTGCAATTTAGACCATCTAGGGCTGTTTTTTTTTTGTTTTAATTTTTTTTTTTTTAACAGATCCGCTTTGTCTTGCCCAGGCTAGAGTGAGTCCCGTGGTGTCAGCCTAGCTCACGAACCTCAAACCTGAGAGCGGGGTAGCGCTCGCTGCTCGGAGCTCCCGGAGTAGCTGGACTCAGCGCGATGCGCCCCGGATGCCCAGCTAATGTTTATTTTTGGGTAGGGTGAGGTGTGATGTGCTGTGGCCAGAGTGATGTCGGTGTGCGTAGTTTGTAGATAGCTCTCTTGCGTTGCGTCAGGCTTGGAGTTGGTGCGGAGATGTGCTGAGCCGGTGTGAGATCCGCCGCGCTGAACCTCCGCAGAATGGCTGAGAGGTGGAGCGAGGGTGAGGCCGAGCGGTGCGACGCCTCGTAGCAGGTTGCTATGATGAAAGAGGTGGTGAAGGTGTAACCCTGTTGTTTGTTTGTAAGCGGGTGCCTTCTGTACTCGAGAGGCGGCGGCTCTGTGAGCCCAGACTCGAGGCGCTGGATGGTTGAGCGTGCTAGTATTGAGTTCGTGTGCGCGTGCAGAAGTTTGGCCATGTATCGTTAGGAAGTGAATTCTTGTATTTTAAAAGGGTGAGTGGTGTGTGTGTCCGTGCCAGTATAATACTTGGATTCGAGCTTGGCTGAGTCAGGTGTAAAGGTGGATTTCCATGGGTGTATGGTCAGGCGATTAGGAAGAGATTCAAGAGGCGACTTTGCGAGACTGTGGGTAGTGTGGGCGGGAGGGTGGTAGCAAGTGTGCGTGACCCAAGACCTGTTGTGATGACAGCGGGTGGAAGGATGAGAGTGCTGCTGAGGATGTATAAAACAATGAAAGTAGTTTGCGGGGGTGGGTGCGTTGGTGAGAGCGAGAGTGAAAGGGTGGGATGCGTGAATTAGAAGTGAGAAGAATGTAGGGTAAAGATTTAAGTGGGCGCTGATTGTCTTTTATCCTGGTGTAGATTTTGATTGGTCTGTTTCTGTGTTACTGTTGCCTTGTTCTCCAGTTTTTGTGTGTGTCGTGTGAGCGTGTGGTAGGCTGTGAGGATGTTTAGAGTTTTTAAAAAAAGATTTAGATCCTGAGATGACGGTGGGAGATTGAGAGAGGGAGTGACAGGGGATGATCTAGCATTCTGCGTATGTAATAGTGACTCCAGAATTCAAGTATTTTGTGTTGGTATTTTTGTTGTTTTGTTTTGGTATTCTGTAGCTGCTCCTGCGCCCGCCCCATTTTATTTGGTTGATATACATTTTTTTCCATTTCGGATAATGTCCGCCCGCCACTCGCGCATATGTCCAGATATCTCTTGATGATGGACTGAGCTGGTTGGGAAGTGTGAGTGTGTGAATCTCTTGGGTATGATGAGTGGCGTGATCGGATAGCTGGCTTGTATGATGGTAAGGTAAGTCCTCAGCCTGATGTTTGCGTGACAGGTGTCTTTGTAATTCCGTGACTGTTGTGTTATATTGTGACAAATACAACTGTCTGTCCAGATGCGTTAAATTAGCTCTTGCATGTGTCCCTAAGTGGTAATGTAAGTTGGCATTTTTAAAAATCTTCGATGGCTGTTGATTAATATTTTTTGTGGCACGCCCCAGACGTAGGATGAGAAGTTAGATAATTTTGAGTTGATTGTACATTTTTTATTTAACATAACTTTGTATTAGATATTGTTGAACTCTCAGTTTGTTTTCTGCTTTGATGTGAAATAAGAATGAAATTTGAGGATGGAGCAAGGGGGGGATGGTCTTGTGTCAAAAGAGATGAATTCTTTTGTGTGAGAGGTCAGATATACGTACCATTTAAACCTCGGGGGACTGAGGCTTCAGAAGTGTGTCATTTCGAGTGAGTGTGTGGGGTGGTGTGTAGTGTTTATTTTAGTGCAAATTGTGAAGAAGGTTAGTTTGGAAGGAGAGAGGTGTTGTTGTTGTGGCCATGCTGATATATATGAGGTGATATTACTAGGCACTGAATTTTAATGTAATATAGTAGAAGAAAGAAGACAAGATCTGATTTAAAGGGGATTTTTAAGTGTATCATCTGCATATGCCCCCACTAATACTTAAAATCTCTTCAGCTGTTGTTATGACTGTGGGGTGAGATTTGTGATATGAGAAGTTTTCCATTTTAATGACCAAAAAGATCACAAAAAGTAACATGAACAGCTTGTAATTTGTTTTGAGACCAATTATCTGACTCTGTAAGCATACATTTTTTAAAAATTATGAAATGTTTGAAAATAATATATATTATGTATATATAAAATATTGACATAATTTGTGTACATTAAACATTTTTTTAAACAGCCAAGCATGGTGGTGTACACCTATAGTCCCAGCCACTCAGGAGGCTGAGATGGGAGGTCACTTAGGCCAGAAGAGTTGGAGACTAGGCCAGTGAAATATAATCCGAACCCCTGTCCTAAGAAAAATATTTTTAGATAGAGAAAAAGTAAGAGAAAAAATTTCAGTCTATAGCTTCTGGTTACCAGTATACTGTATTTTGACTCATTTTCAGGCTCATATTATATTTATGAGTTTTTGGGTTTGTTGTTAATGTAATATTTTATTGAAATATAATATACATGCAGAAAAATAATACATGTTCAAAGTTAACAGGTTCATAAATTTTCGCAGTGATCGCACTGTGTAATCAGCACCAATATCAAAAGAACACATTATCATAACTAGAAGCATCTGTATTTTAGTCATTACCCAATCCTTTCCCCAGGATAACCATTTTCCTGACTTATAACATTATAGGTTTAGATTTGCCCGTGTTTGAACTTTTTTTTTTTTGAGACAGGGTCTCTATCTCCTGGGTCAGAGTATAGAGTGCAATGGTGTCTTCATAGCTTACTGCAACCTCAAACTCCTGGGCTTAAGAGATCCTCCTGCCTCACTCTCTCAAGTAGCTGGGACTAAAGGCACATGTCACCAAGCCCAGCTAACATTTCTGTTTTACGTAGAGATAGAGTCTCACTTTGTTGCCCAGGCTGGTCTTGAACTACTGGCCTCAAGCAGTCCTCCTGCCTCAAGCTCCCAAAGTGTTAGGATTACAGGCATGAGCCACTGCACCCAGCCAACTACTGGTCTTTAATGGTTTTATTTTAATAAATCAGTATGATTTTTATGCCATATATTTTATTTGATGAAAATAAGGTATAAGTGGGCTTAGGAACATCACTGGACTTAGTGAAGGAAGAAAAACTTCTTAATTGCAGCTTAATAATTGTTCATTTGGGGATCATTTTAAAAGCATATTGGAAGGCTATAAACTTATATTTTGAACATATTTTATTAAATAAAATTAGTAAAATGTCATATGTGAAAAAAATGTTTATCAATGTTTGTATATAATATGTATGTTATTCTTTTAACTTCGTCTCCTTTATTTTCCTTACAGGGTTTCAGACAAAATCAGAAAGAAGGAAGGTGCTCACATTCCAATTAAGGAGTAAGTCTGCCATCATTATGAAAGTTAATCTTATTTTTGTATAAATTTTGTGGGAAACAACTATGCAACGTTTTAAAATTCTGAAACATTACATAGTTGAAAGGTTAATGTAAAACAACATTAAAGACATTTTGTGCCAGAGATTAGATAAAAGATTGAGATCTACATCCTCGCTAAAATTCTCATGGTGTCAAAGTGTCATCTCACCAAATACTTGCTCGTTAGTTGTATGGAAAAAACATACTTTTATAATAAAGAGATCCTTAGGATCTCATTTTGTATCACTGGTAGTCAGATAACCAGGCATTTTTTTATTTGTGATGCTATATGAAGTACACTGTATTACCTCTGAAGCATTCTCATCAAAGAAGTTTAACTGGTTAAACAACCTTTTGTTGTTTAGTCAAGCCTTTAGAACTAATTTCCTATCTATTTCCTGTGTCTGTCAGTGCGTGGCAGGGCCTTTTGTTGGTTAGTCAAGCCTTTAGATCTAATTTCCTATTTGCAGGAAATACTGGGGATAGAGCAACAGGTTAAATGGCACCACTAAAGAAACAATCACACAGGTCAAGAATGTGGAATGCTGTAGAAGATAACTGGCCTCATTTCTTCAAAATATTAGTGGGGGAAAAGAAAAAGCCAGGTGGAATGGTTAACTACTCTACTCTAGATTAAAAGTTACTTAAGAGACATAATAACCAAATGCAATGTGGAATCTTTGATTGGACCCTGATTTGGAAAACCATTTGACTTGGGGTGAGGGAGATTGAGAAAATTTGAATATGGACTAGATTTTAAAAGATACTAGATAATTATTGCTAATTGTATGGGCTATGAGAAGGGTGTTGTCTTTTGTAGAAGAATGTTTTAATTTGCATACTGAAGTACTTTCAGAATGAAGTGTTACAGTGTCTCTAAAATATTTTTAAATGGTTTAGCAAAATGTATGTGTGTAAAGCATAAATGGCAAAATGTTAACGACTAACTGGTGTGTATATGGATGTTCACTGTACTATTTTTTTCTATTTTCTGTATGTTTAAAAGTATATAATAAAAATATTTAATTGTTTTTAAAATAGCTATGTGTCTGTCACTGTATTCCTTTTTTGCTTATTACTTTATACTTTTCACCCATATTCATCTGTATTTTGATATGAATGCCATCATAGCATTTTGTGTGTATATGTGTGTGTATCCCCATTTAATGTCACATTTTTTATGTCTTTACATACTTTTTCTGTCAGTGTTCACCTATGGTATGTCATTATACATTTTGTGTAGTGGTTTTTGCCATTCTGAATAACATTATAGTATATACCTTTATATGTGTATTAATTTTATTCTGTTTTGTTATAGTTTGAGATAAAATTTCTGGATTAGGACTATTTGATAAAAATTATGAATGTTATGATTCTTCATAGATGTTTCCTTGAAAAGCAAATTTTTAAAAATCACATTTTCTGAGGCCAGGCACAGTGGCTCATGCCTATAATCCTAGCACTCTGGGAGGCTGAGGTGGGCGGATTGCTCAAGGTCAGGAATTCGAAACCAGCCTGAGCAAGAGCGAGACCCCATCTCTACTAAAAATAGAAAGAAATTAATTGGTCAACTAAAAATACATAGAAAAAATTAGCCGGCCATGGTGGCGCATGCCTGTAGTCCCAGCTACTCAGGAGGCTGAGACAGAAGGATTGCTGAGACCAGGAGTTTGAGGTTGCTGTGAGCTAGGCTGATGCCATGGCACTCTAGCCCAGGCAACAAAGTGAGACTCTGTCTCACACACACACACAAAATCATATTTTCTTTTCCATTTGCAGAATGGCAGTTGTAGTCCTGGGAGGGTATTTTCTAAATTATATAAATCATCATAAGTATAATTACTCACACTTCATTCTTTGGTTAGTCATCTTCATTCAGTTGAAGATATTTACCTGGCTTATTCAGCCAAGTCTAAAAGGATAAATAGAAAAATCAGGCAGAGGATGGAGTGAGTGTTCCAGCCAGAGAATGTACAAAGCCAGAAGCATTAGGGCATGTGTGTTTAGAGGCATAAGGTAGCTCAGATGTCATATCATTATTCTTAATGCCAACCACCCTTCTTATCTACCACCCCCTATTCATGTAATTTCCCTTCCTTGAATAGGCTCTATGCTTATTTCTATTATATAGCTTTTCACATTATATTATCTTTATTCTTTATATATCTGTCTTTCCTCTGTTATTAGAGGAAAGGTACTACATCTTGTTCTTCACTGTTTCTTCAGAATCTGGCGGTTTTTGGAAGCTGAGGATGAACTTAGAGCATAGGGTGGAGGGACTGTCGAGAGAAAATGGTAAATGGAAAGAAATTTCAGAGTGGTTTTCAGATCTGTCTTTCATTCATAATGAAAGGATTTAGGTATTAGTTCTATTTCTTGGTAGTTTTGAGAAAGAATTTTAACAAATCCTGCATTAAGTTAAATGGATTTAAATGTAGAGTTGATCATAATGGTGTTTGACTTAGGGTTATTTTTAGGCATATTTACCTTAACTTTTTTTTTTTTTTCTCTCTGCATACACCACTGTGACTTGGGATATTTACCTTAACTTAAATATTGAATAATGAAGCTGCTTTCCTCTTAGGTACAGACAGGAAATAGCAAAGCCACTACACTATACTATTCCTAGTAATAAAGTCAAAACAGAGCTAGTTTCACTATAATAATTGTCTTTGTGGTTATAAGGAATCCCAGGTGGGAAATTCCATGGTCTGCTCTACAGCCACAGCAGTACCTACATTCAGAAGAGAGAAAAACATAAGGTGCCATATTTGAAGACAGCCTTCAATAAGGGATCAGCCAGAGATTACTTTCTCTGAGATACATTGTAAGTTAGCTTTTCTGCAGAGTTGCCATTAACAGAAATAAACTACAGAGTTAATGTCTTTTAATTTTCATGAACTTAAGTCTTAAGGGAGTTTGAAGCTCTTGGTGATTGGAAAAACAATGGATTAAGTTCAAAAATCAAATTCTGAAAGTCAACAAGGGCAACTCCTGCTTTTGCATAAGTCCATATTCTACTTACAGTAATCAGTAGAAGGCATTTGATATTTAGTCATCTCACTAAGTACTTGGGTGTTTTTATGTATGAATCATGGCCTTTTAAGAGCATCAGGCCAGGCGCGATGGCTCACACCTGTAATCCTAACACTCTGGGAGGCTGAGGCAGGAGGATTGCTTGAGCCCAGAAGTTTGAGGTTGCTGTGAACTAGGCTAATGCCACGGCACTCTAGCCTGGGCAAGAGAGTGAGACTCTGTCTCAAAAAAAAGAAAAAAAAGAATCAAAGATTTGTGCGTAGCACTCTTTTTTCTTTAATAGCTTTTTTTGAGGTATAGTTTATATACAATAAAATGCACAGATTTAAATTGCAAAGTTTGGTCAGTATTGACAAAGGTATGCCCTTGTTACACCTCACTCAACATAGAGAACATTTCCCTCAACCAGGAAGTCCCTTTGTGTCCCTGACTTGCCATTCACCACATTTGCCCACCCTGGCAACCACTGTTCTAACTTCTATGAGCAGATTACTTTTACCTATTTTAGAACTTCTTATAATAGAATTACACCATATTCTTTTTTTTTTTTTTGGAGACAGAGTCTCACTTTGTTGCCCAGGCTAGAGTGAGTGCCGTGGCGTCAGCCTAGCTCACAGCAACCTCAAACTCCTGGGCTCAAGCGATCCTACTGCCTCAGCCTCCCGAGTAGCTGGGACTACAGGCATGCACCACCATGCCCAGCTAAGTTTTTCTGTATATATTAGTTGGCCGATTAATTTCTTTCTATTTATAGTAGAGATGGGGGTCTTGCTCTTGCTCAGGCTGGTTTCTAACTCCTGACCTCGAGCAATCTACCCACCTCGGCCTCCCAGAGTGCTAGGATTACAGGCGTGAGCCACCGCACTTAGCCTAGACCATATTCTTTTGCATAGCATTATGTTTGATGTGTAATTATTTGAGAGTTCATCTAATGTCTTGGGATGATATATGTAACGTATTTTGAAGATACGTTACATATAGCAATATGGTTGGAGAAGCTTTTGGAAAAACTAGTTTCTGAGCTTTGAAGTTCTGATTCTTTGATCACTAGTTATTGTGACACGTAAATTGTCCTTTATATTTGAAAGTGGCATGTAATTTCTGGTTGACCTGTATTCACTTTAAGTAAAATCAGTTCTTGGTTACTAGGTAGAAGAAGGCAAATGTGAAGCAGTATTCCTGAGCATTAATGAGCCTTTGTGTTTCAATAAAGACTTCCAGTTAATAATAAAACCCTATATTATAAATCTTAGTTTTAATAGACTCTTAGGTATGTGTTAGTAGATTTGAGTTTTTATTGTAAAGGAAACTAGGAACTGCCACATGAAATTTTTCTTCTCATTTTAAGTACTAATAATAATATTAGCTAGACTTAGTGATTATTATATACTAGGCATGGTTATTTTGTTTAATTTTTATAACACCCATTAAGTTAGATAATATTATTCCCATTTTACAAATGAGAAAGCAGACTCACAGGTAAAATGATTTGTCTTGGGCCACATAGTAATTAGTGGAATTCTGTATAACCTCTGAACTCTCCAGCTCTCAGCTCCTCAGTAGCTGCTTTTGCCAGGCCCTGTGGAGTCTTGTCCTACCTAAGTGCAATTTAGGATTTGGACAAAGACCTATGTAGAAATCCTACACAAATTTCTGTAGCTTCTTCTCTTCAAATCCCTCCTCTCTAGACCCTGCCTCCTCAAATTGGACCTGCCTTCTTCCAAGGCTTGATTTCCAATGTCCATTTCTTCCACTCCGGGAGACCAGTAATCTTAGGAAGTGTCCCTCTTCCAGTCTGCAGTTTGGAAATCCAGCCAGAAAGGGTGAATGCAAAGTTTACCTTATGGGTTTCCCTTTCTTGAGGATCTCAGTCCCGTACTGTCTGTTGCCCAGTGTCTGAAAAGTGTTGTAACATATATTGTGCCCACTTTTATAGTCTATGGCAGAAAAACAAGTCCACTACCATTATTCCCCCCTTTTTAAAAGACTAGTTGGTTTTTAGCTGCATGCCATGTATCTAAAAAAAAAAAGACTAGTTTGTTTTAACAAATGTTTCATCATTTTCTCCATGAATACTTGGCTGGATAACATAACACATTGCCTCACCTTTCCCATTTTGGAACAATTAATTTTCAGTTGTTGCATATTTTCTGAAAAATTAGTCTGATGGTTAAAATAAAATGTATTAAACAGTGATATTCTGTACTTCGCAAATATTAGGTCATTAAATATGAAATGTCTGATTTCAAATCAAAAGTGTAGTTTATTATATCTCAAATGAGAAGTGGTACAATTAATCAAAGTATTTACCTAAACTGCCAATATAGTTTTGCCATCTTAATGGTATCTTATTAATGCCAGCAGCATAGAAGCTTGGAGAGCAAGTGGCAGTGAAATTGCAAAAGGTGTTTCCCACAGATTGTTGAGAATTGAATGTCTTTCCTTGCAAGAAGTGGTCCAAAACCTGGAAGTAGTAGCAGTTGGTTCAAGATCTGGTGAATACAATGGATGACAGAGTATCCAAGTCCAGCTTCTGTAGCAGCGTTGTTTGTGCGACATGTGGTTGAGCCTTGTCTTGCAAGAGGATTGGCCTGTCTCTATTGACCATTCTTAGCTACTTAATCACAAGCATCCTCATCATTTTGTCCAATTGGTTGCAGTAGACATCTGCTATAATTGATTGAGGGGGTTTCATGAAGCTGTAGCGGATAATACCAGCACTGGACCACCAAACATACCCTTAGCTTTTTTTGATGAACATTTGGTTTTGGACTGTGTCGGTACTTCATCTTTATCCAACTATTGTACTGAATGCTTGCAATTGTCAGAATCCATTCTTCATCACACATAACAGTACAGCATAGAAATTGTTCACTTTTATGAGGTGACGCAAAGAAAGGCAAGCTTCGAGAAGATTTCTCTTCTGATGCTCATTTAATTCATGTGGTACCCATCAATCCAGCTTCTCTACCTTGCCCATTTGTTTGAAATGATCCAATATTGTTGGAATAGTAACACCAAACCTTGGTGCTAATTCACACGTACTTGAAATGGATTCACTTCCACAACAGCTTTCAGCCCATCATTATCCACCTTATTCTCAGGTTGCTCATGTGACTCATCTTCAAGATTACAATCACCAGAACAGAACTTCTCAAACCATTGATGATATACTGTGTGTTCATTAGCCGTATATATCTATCCCAAACACTTCATTGATATTTCAAGCTATCTGTGCTGCATTGGTTCCTCAATGGACTGGAAAATAATATGAATTTTTTACTTACCCTGGTTTCACAAAAATTGCTCTAAGAAAAAATTTGAAAAATAATCACAAGCCAAAATATATGTTTGAAAGACCGAGGATGTATCTTCATAATGAAAATAAAACAGGCTGGGCACGATGGCTCATGCCTGTAATCCTAGTACTCTGGGAAGCCGAGGTGGGCGGATTGCTCGAGGTCAGGAGTTTGAAACCAGCCTGAGCAAGACTGAGACCCCATCTCTACTATAAATAGAAAGAAATTAATTGGCCAACTAAAATACATAGAAAAAATTAGCCGGGCACGGTGGTGCATGCCTGTAGTCCCAGCTACTCAGGAGGCTGAGGCAGGAGGATTGCTTGAGCCCAGGAGTTTGAGGTTGCTGTGAGCGAGGCTGACGCCACGGCACTTACTCTAGCCTGGGCAACAAAGCGAGACTCTGTCTCAAAAAAAAAAAAAAGGAAAGGAAAGAAAGCAGATGTCAAAGTGAAATGGCAGAGATATCAACTGTCAAACTTAGTTCTTAAGGAAATGGGACATTTCATACTTAATAACTTAATACATAAGATTTAGATGTCAAATTTGGGGTTATTGATATATATTTCTACATGGCAATAATCTATTTTGGGCTCTTTTGCCCATTAAAGTTGCATAGAGGTGTTGTGTATTGATGATTATTTTATATACTGGTTTCTGGAATCTAAATAGTTGTATATGTCATCACATGTCACATTGCTTCTCCCAAAAAAATAAACTAGTTAATAATGCCCTCTTTCTTCACACTTGCCTAACTTAATTATTATAGCCTCTTCTGGTTAACATATGGTTTTCCTTTTTCCTTTTCCTTTTCCTTTTCCTTTTTCTTTTTCTTTTTGGTGACAGGGTATCACTCTGTCACCCAGGATAGAGTGTAGTGGTGTCTTCATGGCTCACTGTCAAATTTCCAAATTCCTAGACTCAAGCGATCCTCCTACCTCAACCTCCCAAGTAACCGGGACTACAGGTGCAAGCCACCACACCTGGCTAATTTTTGGGGGGGGGTAGAGATGCCTTGCTATGTTGGCCAGGCTATATTCAAACTCCTGGCCTCAAGCAATCCTCCCTCCGCTAGGATTACAGGCATTTGCCACTGTGCCCAGCCCCTTGTTAGATTTTGTTTAAGAATTATTTCTTTTCTGTTGTTATTCTTATTTATAAAAGTTCTAAAATAGTTGAAATCTATTTTTGACCATTATTCAATTTACTCTTTTAATTCTTTTTTGTTATTTATATTTTTTATTATTTTAATTTTTTGGAGATGGGATCTCACTGTGTTGCCCAGGCTGGAATGCAACAGCTATTCATAGGTATAATCATAGAGCAGTATAGCCTTGAACTTGTGGCCTCAAGCAATCCTCCCACCACAGCTACTTGAATAGTTGGAAATACAAGTGTTTGCCACTGTACCTATTCATTTGTTTTTTAAAAAACAACATTGTTGCTTTGTTATATGCATGGTGGTCTGATAGGAAGATAAACGTTTAAATGAATAAAGTAAGATCCAGAACTGTGTATATTATGCTACTTGCCATTTGTGTAAATCTGTGTGCATATGTACATATGTATGTACATTATCATCTCAGGGCAATACTCAAGTTACCTCTAAAGAGGAACTAGAATACACAGCTTTTTGTGGTTTTAAAATTTTTGTCTTGTGTATATGTATTGCAAATTTAAAAAAAATAATGTATTAAAATAAATCTAGTTATGATATGTTATCATTGCTCCTTTAAACTTTTTAAATTTTTTCTTTTTATAGGTAATTCATACAGTGTTCTTTAATAGGTAAGTGCTATTTTCCTCACTATATATTTTGGGGAGCATTCTGTATCAATATTTAAGCTGTCTCATTCTTTTAAACAGTTGCAGGATATTCTTATACAGAGATGTGTGCCATACTTATTTGGTATTTTGTGGGTGATTTGTTGCCAATTGTTGGCTATTTAATATACAGTCAGTATGTTAGGATTAAATATGTAGAATTAGAACTAGGTTGAAGAGGATATGCACTTAGAATTTTAATAAATTTTTGCCAAATTCCTCTCAGTAGAGGTTGTGTTAGTTTACATTCTCCAATGTGGTCTTTTATCTTTCAGTTACTTTGTGTACACATCTGTCTTCCTCTTTTGTCCACTTAAAACTATTTCAAGTAAATTCTGGTGTATAAGCGTATAAGATGAAGGAATATTTTCACCTGTCCTTTTAGCAAAATGGAGTGTTTCAGATTTTCTCATAAAATATTATATAATGTAGTCCTTTCTGTTGAACGACTAACCAGATGAGACCATGTTTCCTTTTTTGTCCTTAGACATATATCAGTTCTTGAATTTGAGAGAATTTATCTAAGTAGTATATCTCACCTGAAGACTCATAGTTTTCATATGAACAATTTCACCACTATTATTAGTCTAGAACAGGGATTAACAGCGAGTTAAGTGATAAATATTTTAGGTCATAGTTTTCCAACTACTGGAGTAGTTGATGGTGCTGTGTCTTTATATTCATCTTCTAATTGTTTTAATAATTATGAAATGACTTTTTCTATCAATTTTCTTCTCTTTGCTGTGATGGAGAGAAATGAGAAAATCTGAATTCTCAAGTGTTTTAAGGAAAGCTTAAAAAAAAAAAAATACGGCTAGGCGCAGTAGCTCACACCTGTAATCCTACCTCTCTAGAAGGCTGAGGCGGAAGGATCGCTCAAGGTCTGGAGTTCCAAACCAGCCTAAGCAAGAGCAAGACCTGTAGTCCCAGCTACTCGGGAAGCTGAGGCAGGAGGATTGCTTCAGCTTAGGAGTCTGAGGTTGCTGTGAGCTAGGCTGATGCCACGGCACTCACTCTAGCCTGGGCAACAAAGCGAGACTCTGTCTTAAAAAAAAATACTACAAGGATAGTGTCTCCAGACTTCCATTAAAATTTTTTGAAAGATCATGTAATATTGGGCAACAGAATAAGAAAACTGAAGGATCATGTAAATAATGATGGTTTACTTTATCATCCTTTTAGGTGATTCTGTCCTTCCATGTTCTTATTATTTTAGCCTTTTTTTAAAGCATAGTTGGAGATAATAGAGTATATTATCTATTGATGCCTAACAAATTGACACCTACCAAAGTACCCTAAACTTCAACAACTAAAGCAGCAAACACTTTTACCTCATAGTTTCTGTGGGTCAGGAATTCAGGAGCAGTTTAGCTGGATGGTTCTGGGTAGTTCTTATGAGGCTGCAGTCATCTCAAGACTCTACTCAGTCTCGAAGATCCAAGCTCACTCATGTGGTTGTTGGCAGGGGCCTCTGTTCCTTGCCACTTGGGGCTTTCTGTAGGCAACCTGAGAATCTAAACTGGCTTTCCCCAGAATGAGTAACTCAAGAAAGAGAGAACAAGGCCATACTTAACCTTTATAACTTAGTCTCTGAATCACACACCATTATTTCCACCTTTTTCTATTTTTTTTCAATTATAAAAATTTTTTTTTAAAAAATGTTTTAACATAAAAAGAATTCTTTTTTTTTTTTTGAGATGGAGTCTCACTTTGTTGCCCGGACTAGAGAAGCGATCCTCCTGCCTCAGCCTCCTGAGTAGCTGGGACTACAGGCATGTACCACTGTGCCCGGCTGATTTTTTCTATATATTTTTAGTTGTCCAGCTAATTTCTTTCTATTTTAAGTAGAGACGGTGTCTCGCTCTTGCTCAGGCTGGTCTCAAACTTCTGAGTTCAAACGATCCACCCCCCTCAGCTTCCCAGAGTGCTAGGATTACAGGTGTGAGCCACGGCACCCAGCCCTTTTTCTATTTTTTAGATACAAGTTTCTAAGTCCAGCCTGCGGTCAATTGGAGCGAATGACACAAGGGTTTGAATACCCAGAGGCAGAAATCATTGGGGAGAAATCTTGGAGGCTGGCTACCACAATGAGTTATAATAAAATAAATCCTGGGATGATGAATAACAAAATATTTTATGATAAGGGATAATAAAATCATTAAAATGCTATCTTTTAGGTTTGTAAAAGGGTTCAGTAGAATCACATGGTAATCACAACAGGTGTTTGTTTTTTTATTTTTTTATTTTATTTTTTTTTTTTGAATCTTCATAACATGTGAATGTTTTTTTTAATAAGTAAATTTTTTTCTTTGTTCCCTGGCAGACCTCTAAGAAAGAATGTTATGAATCCTTACAAATAGTTAGAACTGTTAAAAAAAAAAAAAAAAAACCTCAGAAACTAAAATTGGATTCAATAGACCTTAATGGGCTATTGGGGGTTAATTTTCATCTTTCTGCTTTCCTAATAATTTTTAATAATTTCTTATTTATTAAAATGAATATTTAAGGACCATAAATTTTCCTCTGAGTAATGTTACATTCTAGAGGTTCTCTTATGTAGAATTCTTATTATCGTTTTATAGAAATTCCAAATTTTTGAGTTTTGTTTTCAACTCTAGAAATGTTTAATGCTGCGGCCGGGCGCGGTGTTTCACGCCTGTAATTGTAGCACTCTGGGAGGCCGAGGCAGGTGGATTGCTCAAGATCAGGAGTTTGAAACCAGCCTGAGCGAGACCCCGTCTCCACTAAAAATAGAAAGAAATTAGTAGACCAACTAAAAATATATATTCAAAAAAATTTAGCCGGGCATGGTGGCACATGCCTGTAGTCCCAGCTACTCGGGAGGCTGAGGCAGAAGGATTGCTTGAGTCCAGGAGTTTGAGGTTGCTGTGAGCTAGGCTGACGCCACGGCACTCACTCTAGCCTGGGCAACAAAGCTAGACTCAGTCTCAAAAAAAAAAAGAAAAGAAATGTTTAATGCTTTAATTTCTAGGTAGTTAGGTTTAACTTCTAGTTTTATTATATTGTGGTTGGAGAATGTTGTTTGTACTGTTGTAATCACTAATGTGTTTAAAAAATTTTTAGCATGATTTTGATAATTGTTTTGTAATATGTTTTAAATCCTAGTAGGATAGACCAAATACCAGTACTTCTTAAAAATTTTTTTGGCATTATATTACATTAAGTCTTTATATTAGCATTTTTGTATTCTTTGTGCTCTATACAAATTATTACATATTTTTATATTTGTGTTCTAATGTATTTACCACAGTGAGTATACTGTTTATATTTTCTCTGTTCTTTATGATTTTATCAGAAAACAGGTTTTTATATTTTATAATTTAATCTTTTTTCCTTTCAAATGCAGGTGCAGTTTTCTCCCAAGGAGAATGGTATTTGATGTTTCCTTGTCGGACACTTGATTGGGTGGCACAATCATCTGTACTTTTTCCCTCATTGCATGTGTTCCATGCTTAAATTACCAGCAAAGGGTTTTTAGGGCATAATCAGTTTGAGTAACTGAACAGTGGAAATGTGAGCAGTTAAAAGAAACTCAAGGTGACATATGGTACAAAAAAGTCAATCTGTCAAAATTACAGTCGAGCACATTTGTATATTGTAACTTTCTTAGTATGTTAAGTTTTTTATTAATACCTTTAAAATAAATGAGAAAATTTTTTAAACTTTAAAAGTTGAATATTTTTCCTTGGAATACATAGGATAACGTAGTGTTGAGTCTGCCTAAAAATGTAGAAAAAAACTGATCAGGCTTATTTGGGTAGAGTAGTATTGTAAAGATAGAACCAATTGTAAAACAGCCTTACTGATAATCCAAGATTAGGGAACAGGCTGGAATGGTGGCTCACACCTGTAATCTTAGCATTCTGGGAGGCCAGGGCGGACGGATCGTTCGAAAACAAGGTTAGGGAACAAAGGCAAAGACTGGGTCTATACAGTCAGGAACCAAAGCCATGTTATGTTTGTTAGAAGTCATCTCATTCTTCTCTCTGTACTTAACCTTGTGTGTCTTTCTACTTCTCCCTCTTTCTCTTCTGACTTCTTCTATGTCCGCATCACATACACTGCCTAACACAGTTGCCCCACCCATTCTATGTCAAGACCTTTCAGTTCCATCTACCATCTCCATCTGATTATTGTTTCAGTTGAGTCTAAAGATTGGTGTCCATGCACCTAGGATTCTCCCTAGGCCATTTAGCTGTGAAGGAACAGGTTAATACTAAGTGCTATTCCATCCAGAGGTGGTTTTTTTTTTGAGACAGAGTCTCACTCTGTTGCCTGGGCTAGAGTGCTGTGGCATCAGCCTCGCTCATAGCAACCTCAAACTCCTGGGCTCAAGCAATCCTCCTGCCTCAGCCTCCCCAGTAGCTGGGACTACAGGCATGTGCCACCATGCCCCAGCTAATTTTTCTATATATTTTAGTTGGTCAATTAATTTGTTTCTATTTTTAGTAGAGACAGGGTCTCGCTCTTGCTTAGGCTGGTTTTGAACTCCTGACCTTGAGCAATCCTCCCACCTTAGCCTCCCAGAGTGCTAGGATTACAGGCGTGAGCCACTGCCCCCTGCTCGGCCTGCCTTCAAAGAGAGAAACAAGAGCAAGAGAAAGAAGGAGGGCATAAGTCTAGGAGTAGAAGAAAAGCACCTTTGGATTTATCCAGAGTCCCAGTCAAAATGTGTATACACACGGGGCAGTATTTTAAATGTTAGCCATTCTAGAGCATATGTATGTATCTTACCATGGCTTTAATTTAATGGCTTATTGGTCATTCATGTATCTTCTTTGATAATTAAATCTTTTACCCATTTTTAAATTGGGTTATTTACCTTATTATTAAATTATAAGAATTCTTTATATTTTTTGGATACCAGTCCTTTGCTAGATATTTACATTATAAATGTATTCTCTCAGTCCGTGATTGTCTTTTCATTTTCTTAATCGTGTCTTTTTTTTTGAGACAGAGTCTCGCTTCGTTGCCTAGGCTAGAGTGAGTGCCATGGCGTTAGCCTAGCTCACAGCAACCCCAAACTCCTGGGCTCAAGCAATCCTTCTGCCTCAGCCTCCTAAGTAGCTGGGACTACAGGCATGTGCCACTATGCCCGGCTAATTTTTTTGTATGTATATTAGTTGGCCAATTAATTTCTTTCTATTTATAGTAGAGACAGGGTCTCGCTCTTGCTCAGGCTGGTTTCGAACTCCTGACCTCGAGCAATCCGCCCGCCTCGGCCTCCCAGAGAGCTAGGATTACAGGCATGAGCCACCACGCCTGGCCTTAATCAATCGTGTCTTTTAAAGAACAGAAGTTTTTTTATTTTGATGAAATCCAATTTCAGTTTTTCTTTTATGATTGATGTTTTCTGAGTCCTAAGAAATCATTGCCTAAAGTTGTGAAGATGTTCTAAAAATTAACATTTGTATTGTCAATACCAGCTGTTGGTTAAGGAGATAATATATGAGCTCTAATTCCTCCACAAGAGCTCTTTATATATTGCTTGTGGGAATGTAAAATAGTATAATTTCTTTGGAGAAACAGTTTAGTAGTGTCAGGATAAGCTATATACACTTACCATTCAGTCTAACAATTCTATTCCTATGTATTTACTCAAGAAAAATGAACACACAAAGATTTATACAAGACTGTTCATAGCAACTTTATTCATAGTAACCAAAAAATCAGAGACCACCCCGTGTCCACTGGGGATAAACAAACGGATAAACAAAATATCCATACAGTGGAATACAGGCAGTAAAAAGAAACAAACTATTGATATATGCAACAATATGAATAAACCTCAAAAACATTATTAGCCAAAGAAGCCATACATAACATGATTTAATTTATAAGAACTGTAACAGGAAAAATTAATCTATAGCAATAGAAAACACATCAATTTTACCAGGTGTTGGAAACCCTGAACAGTACTGACTACAAATGAACACTAGCGTGATGAAAATGTTCTCTTTCTTTTTTTTTTTTTTTTTTGAGACAGAGTCTAGCTTCATTGCCCAGGCTAGAGTGAGTGCCGTGGCATCAGCCTAGCTCACAACAACCTCAAACTCCTGGGCTCAAGCAATCCTACTGCTTCAGCCTCCTGAGTAGCTGGGACTAAAGGCATGTGCCACCATGCCCAGTTAATTTTTTCTACATATATTAGTTGGCTAATTAATTTCTTTCTATTTATAGTAGAGACAGGGTCTTGCTCTTGCTCAGGCTGGTTTCGAACTCTTGACCTCGAGCAATCCGCCCACCTTGGCCTCTCAGAGTGCTAGGATTACAGGCGTGAGCCACCGCGCCCGGCCTTCTTTCTTGATTGTGGTGTCATTGCATGGGTATACACAAAGGTATGGAATTACTTAAAATGGGAACATTTTATTATATATTAATTATAACTCAATAAAATTGACTTTTTAAAATTCAAAGTATACATACAAATACACTAATGTTTACAGAGAATCCAGAGAAATGAAAAAGCAATTCTGTGTCTGGGATTTGTTTTCTTTAAAATTACCTGAGTTAATTTTTTTTTAAAAGTTCAGAATTCTATTATCAAGCCCTGTTTTTAAGTTACCTAAGTATCTCTGTAATATGATTAGAAGCAGTTCTCATCTGTTAGCATTTATGATAACCACCGGAGGATTTGTTAAAGCAAAAATTGCCAGATACACCCTCAGAGTTCCCGATTCAGCAGGTCTGTGAAGCTACCCAAAAATTTGCATTTCTAGTAAGTTCTCAGGTCATGCTGACGCTACTGGCCCAAGAAACCATTTAGAATCACTGATTACAGAGATCCTTAAAAGATCCCTCTTCCTCCAAAGAGTCAATTCTTAATGCCTAAAACCTGAACTAAATTATCCCTTACAAGGGGTATATCCCAGGAAAGTGTTAACACCTGAAAAGTAAAAGATTCTCTACCCTGATGATAAGAGGCAGAAAAGAAACAGGTCAGGCCAAAGTTTTTAAACTGGTGGCCTGAAGGTAAGTTTTATTTAGCCTTTGATTTTATTTTAATTAGATGCCAATATTTAAAACTTGTGAGTGGCCAGACACAATGGCTCATACCTGTAATCCCAGCACTTTCAGAGGCCAAGGCAGGAGGATCACTTAGGCCAGATTGAGACCAGCCTGGCTAACATGGTGAGACCTGGTCTCTTAGATTAAAAAAAAAAAAAAACTTGGGAGAAAGCACTTTAAAAATCTAGTCCTTTAGTTTCTTTTTAAATATCAAAATAGGGGTTTTAAAAAAAAGAAAATAAATATCAAAATATATGGCACCAGAGGACCTCTATCTTCAGACAGGAAAAATAGGCTGGGGCTAAATAATTGTTGCCTCACTTAAAACACTTTTTTGGGTTTTTTTGACTAAGTAATAAATGCATATGTATAAAATTCAAAGGTACAAAAGGCTGTACAGTGAAAACAACATCTCCCTTCTATCCCTGACCCCCAGCGCCTCAGAAGCTGCCTCCCTTAGATGGGACAAGTGCTTTCCATATGCCAGCACTCTGCATTACCCTGGCCCCCTTCCATTTATAAGCATTATCAGTACGGCCCCTTCAGACATTTGCGTGCCTCCAAACCCATTGCACAGCGCCTCCTTTGCATTCCCTTGGCACCTGGCATATTGTTAGCACTTTCACAGACTTCTTTACAGGTCTGTGTCTTTGTAGACTGGGAGGTTCAGAGATCCATGAGGCTGGGGTTTATATCCTCTTTTTAGTATCTATAGCCCTAATGCTCAGGATCCCATCAGACTTATACAGATGTACAAGGTTTGCTGAGTGAATTGATTAATGAATGAACAAATTGTGTAATGTTTCTAGGATCCTGGCCTGGGGTAGGACTCAAATAATTCAGGTGAAACCAAGAATTTAAATCCCATAAAGAGCCCAGCAGAGTCCCCAGTCCATCTTGTAATACCTTTCCCAGAACAGAATTAGATAACTTGGAAATAAATAATCCTCTGACCTTATAGAACGGGACCCAAAAGGAGTACTAGTGCATCCCAGAAGTGTGACAACCACCTGTGTCCCTTTCTTCCTTATTATAGGCCCCAAGGACTCAAACTTCTTGTCTGTTCTTCTAAACTCAGCCATCCACTAAAGCTTTGGTTCACAACCCCCGGGCCATAGCCTGATAGCAGTCCGTGGCCTATTAGGAAACAGGCCTTGCATCACCCCTGCCACTCCCACCCTTCCGTCCGTGGAAAAATTGTTTGCCATGAAATCGGTCCCTGATGCCAAAAAGGTTGGAGACCACCGCACTAAAGGCCTCAGGATTGGGATTCCACTAACCCACTTTCCAAGGGCTGGTTGTAGCCTTTCTCACCACTCATTGAAACCGTTTCATGTTACGAATTTAACAACCATTAGGGATATAGATAAATATTTGTTACCCAACAGGCAGCACACCACATACTCCAAACTCTACTATATTCTGAGGATGTACTTAAGGCAGAAGGAAAATGATCCTAAATAGATATGAGATGCAAGAAGAAATAAAGAGCCAAGAAAGTGGTAAATATGTGATTAAATCTTAATAAATATTCACTGGATAAAATAAATATTAATATTTATGAAATCAAAAAAAATTAAATATACAATAATAATAATACTGTAGATGTGAGGACGGAGGTAAATGAAATTAAGGTACTTTTTGTCCTTGTGCTGTGTGGGGAGGTAAAGGTACATATATCATCTTTAGATTTGATAAGTCATGAATGAGTACTGGACACAAACTTCTAATGCCTCCTGAGATTCCTTTGGGTGCTTCCTTCCTTCCAAAGGTGTTGCCTACCTTTCACTTTGCACTGCTGCTGCCTTGATTCACCTTCCTGAGCTGGCTGGAGTTCAAATTGAAGTGCACCAAGCCTACCTGACTTGAGTTGCCCCTGCACCTTCCAGAGTTGGGTGCAACGCCATATCACTGAGCATGAGGCCTGGCTTCCTTAACGCTTACCAAAGAACTGGATGACACAGCCCTGTGGGCAAACTATGACCAATGGGAAATGGAAGAAGTTAGGAAAGTAAGTACCTTTCCTTCCTCCCTTCAAGGGACAGGTTCTCCTTATAAGGCTTCCAGAGAAGTCCCATACTGTAAATAAAGACACTTGCTGGGAAACTCCTGTATCTCTTCACAGCTTGTCATGAAGCCCAGCCACTGTGTTAAAACACTGTGTCACATTTCTCTTTGCCTTGCTTTCCCTTTTCTTCCTTACCCTCACCACCCCACATCACACCTCCCAAATACAGTAACAACACTTTCATCTTTGTCTCGGGCTCTACTTTCTAGAGGACTTAGGTTAAGAAATTTTGTATGTTGTAATTTCTCGGGTAACCACTACAGGAATAAAAACAGAGTATACAATTTTCAAACTAGTAAGGAGAAACACGGAATGGTGGCAAATAATCCAAAAGAAGGCAAAAAAGAAGAGAAAAGGAAAGATGAAATAGTTAAAACTAATAGCACAAAGATGGTAGATTTAAACCCAAATACATTGGTGGTAATAAATATTTTTATATAAAAGTATATTTATTAAATATAAATGTAATCTACACATTAAATATAAGTGAACAAAATGCTTTTAGTTAAAAGACAAATATCAAATAGAAAAAAGAATATGAAGTAAAAATGTATACATTTAGAAGTATTTAAAATAAATCTAGTTTTCATAATGAATTTTAAGTATTAAGGAGTCTTCTTTTTCTTTGTTGTTTATTTGTTTGTTTTTTGTTTGAGACAGATGAGGTCTCACTCTGTTGCCTTGCTTAGAGTGCAGTGGCATTATCATAGACCTAGCTACTCCGGAGTTTTAAGGTGAGAAGATCACTTGAGCCCAGGAGTTTTGAGGTTTCAGTGAGCTATGATCACACCACTCCACTCCAGCCTGGGCAACAGAGTGAGACCTCATCTCTAAAAAAAAATAAAATGAAATAAATTTTTAAAAAGGAGAGAGATTGGCTCCTTAATGCCTGTGGAAGATTTTATATCCTTGCATCTAAACTGTATTATGTGGACTGCTACAAGGACTTTTACTGCTAACAAGGACTGCTTGATGCTGCCCTGCTGGTAGGAGGTTGTTCCTGTTTAATATACTTTTGAGTAAACTGGTGCCAAGAGTGGCCATGGCAGTCTTGTAGGTTTGAATGTTTAACCTAAAAAGACCCCTTCAACAACAAATAATTTCAGATGTATTTATTTTATCATTATATTCCAAATGTTTAAACCTAAAAAGACCCATCTGGTGGATATACCAGCATATCATTTCACATGTATTAATTTCCTAATAATTGATTAATTTTCATCTTTGACTGAATTTACATTTATACTTAATTTTCTTTTACACTAAATGAATTAAAATAAATCACATTCTGTATTTTAATTATAAAACAATATTATCACATCAATTTAATCATTATAGTAATTTATATATAATAATGCATAATGACTTTGAAAACATTATAACTCGAAATAATAAAAAACAACATTGAATCAAGTACTGTTGAATTCCAGGCATTTGTGTGACAAGGTACAAATAAAATACTTAATAAAATACTGTATTTTCTTAACAAAAAGTTTCTTAAATTGTTACTCATGTTTTAAAAGAATCTTCTTCTAAAGAATCATTTTATTTACAGTTACAATTTTCGTTTTAACACATACAATGTCTACTACATGCTGGAATCAAATACCTGAATGACTTGGAATCTTATGAATACAGCCAGGACAACAGTGTAGAGAATCATGAACAAAAACATCACAGTCCACACAGAAAACATTTTGGCACACAGTGCAAATATAGACCTACAGTGAAAAGAGGAAAAGTGAATAAATAAAAGTAGTTTCCAAAATTCAAGTATAGCATAGCTAGAAGACATTCAAATTGCTTTGCTCTTTTATATCCCTATCAATTTTTCCCCACCCACCTATCTACTTTATTATATCCAATATACTATATATTCTTAAATCTAAAGTGATTTAATTTTTTCCCCAAAATTACCGCTTAGAAATGTAGGAATGACTTTGTCTTTGAGTCTTTAAAGTCTATTCTATTACAGTATACTCTCTATTTTTTTTTGGTAGAGACAGGGTCTCACTATGTTGTCCAGGCTGGTCTTCCACTTTAGCTCTGAAGTATTCAGATTACAAGCATGAGCCACTCACTGCTCCTGGCCTCAATTACTTCATTTTAAGGAACTATTTGGGGGAAGACAGATGAGCTTGAAACCAATGCTATTAGGTTATTAAGTATGGAATGTCTGATTTCCTTAAGTACTATATTTGACAATTGATATCTCTAACATTGCATTTGACATTTCTTGTTTTTTTTCTGTTTTTGTATTATGAAGGTACATCCTCATTCTTTCAAATGCACATTTTAGTTTGTGATTATCTTTCAAATTTTTTAGAGCAACTTTTGTGAAACCATGGATAAGTAAAAATTTCATGTTATTTTTGAATATGAGTTCTGTTGTGGAACCAATGCAGCACAGACAGCTCAAAGTATTTCAGTAAGTGTTTGGAAAGGATGTGGCTAATGAATGCACAGTATGTTGATGGTTTGAGAAGTTCCATTCTGGTGACTGTAATCTTGAAAATGAGCCATTGGGCTGACCTGAGAACAAGGTGGATAGTGATGAGCTGAAAGCTGCAGTGGAAGTGAATCCATCTCAACCTTTGTGTAAATTAGCAGCAAGGTTTGACATTACTATTCCAATCATATTAGACCATTTGAAACAAACCAGCAAGGTAAAAAAGCTGGATAGATGGGTACCACATGAATTAAATGAGCATCAGAAGAGAAATCTTAGCCGGGCGCGGTGGCTCACGCCTGTAATCCTAGCACTCTGGGAGGCTGAGGCGGGCAGATTGCTCGAGGTCAGGAGTTGGAAACCAGCCTGAGCAAGAAGCGAGACCTCTCTACTATAAATACAAGAAATTAATGGCCAACTTAATATTATATATATAAAATTAGCGCAGGCAGGTGACATGCCTGTAGTCCCAGTACTGGGAGCGCTGAGGCAGCAGGATTGCTTGAGCCAGGAGTTTGAGGTTGCTGTGAGCTAGGCTGACGCACCGGCACTCACTCTAGCCTGGGCAACAAAAAGAAGAAATCTTCTCAAAGCTGCCTTTTTGCTGTCATGACATAAAGCGAACCATTTCTACACCATATTGTGATGGTGATGAAAAAATAGATTCTTTTGACAATCTCAAGCATTTGGCACACTGGTTGGGTAAAGATGAAGCTGAAACACAGTCCAAACTGAAATTCATCAAAAAAAGCTAATGGTGTCTGTTTGGTGTCCAGCGTTGGTATTAGCCACTACAGCTCATGAAACTCGTCATCGATTATAGCAGATATCTACTGCAACCAATTGACAAAATGATAGGATGCTTCGATTAAGCAGCCAAGACTGAGCAATGAGCAAATCTCTTGCAAGACAACGCCAACACCATGTCACACAAACACACTGCTCCAACTACAAAAGCTGACTTGGAACTCTCTGTCATCCACCATATTCACCAGGCCTTGACACCAACTTACTGCCACTTTTTCCAGGCTTTGGACCACTTATTCCAAGGAAAATAGTCAATTCTCAACAAGCTTGTGGAAAATGCCTTCATGATTTCATTGCTACTTGCCTCCAGGCTTCTTTGCTGCTGGCGTAAGCAAGCTACCATTAAGATGGCAAAAAGCTCAAAAAATAAAAAAAATTAAAAAATAAAGAGGCAAACTATGTCAATAGTTTAGGCACATACTTTGATTAATCGTACCGCTTCTGTTTGAGATAAACTTTGGATCTCGAAATCGGACGTTTCATATTTAATGACCTAATAGTTCTGAATGCTTAGAGAGGTGACCTGACTGATTCAATTAAAAACGGAAGCAAAAAATGTAACATAGATTTAGTTATTCTTAGGGAATGGCTCACAATCCAAAAAGTTATAATTTCCTTTCAATTAAACTTTAAATGATAACCATAAGACAAATAAAAAGGAAAACACCCACTATACTTTCACCATTATAAATATGGGTATTTGTGCCTTGGATAAACTTTCCAGGGTAACATCACAAGTTCGAAAATCACATAAAATTCAAAACAACACAAAAGTAAAGATGAGGCTGCTATTAAAAACTGACAAATGATTCAAAAAGTGGTTCTAGTAAAGATGAAGCTACCATGTCAGAGATTTAAAAATTTAATAAAACTATTTTATGAAACATGAGAGTGAATAAATAGCAATACTGTAATTAATATTTATAGAATTATAAAGTATAATTTAAATATGCATATGTAACTAAATTATAAAAAATTAAAACATGGTCTATATTATTTGCATCTTATAAGTTTATATCCAAATTGGCCCTCTCAAAATTTTAAAAAAATCTTCTCATTGGCACAGTGGAGGAATAACCTTTTATCTGTGGCCTTAAATGATGACTTAAGCCTAAAGTGTAACATGCAGAAAAAAAGTTAAATACTTCTATTTTGTTCCCATTTTACTGCTACCTACTGTAATTACCTTTAGGAGGATAGGCTAATATGATCTGGTCTTTAACAACCTATTCAAACTTAGAATGCCACATGAACTTACGTGTTGGTCTTTTAATTCCCCTGCACCCCATAACAAAATCTGAAAAGAGAGTTAAAGCAATTTTTAAAATTCACTCATTCAAATAGTTCAGTAGAATCTTAATAACTAGAACTTTAATGAATAAGTAACTGTTTGACATGACTTTTAGGAGAAAGAGTTAAAAATATCAATAAGTTTTAAAAATCCCACAGTATTGTACTAAGATCATCTGACAGCTCAAATTTAGTTTTTATTTTAATTAAGGCTAAATATGAGCATGCTTTCTCAACTGGGATTCTGTGAGAGAATAAGTCCTACAGAAAATGATCTGAGTTACTATTTTTCATTCTTCTAAATGTAGAACCTGATTCCTAGCACTCTCGGGAGGCTGAGGCGAGCAGATCACTCAAGGTCAGGAGTTCGAAACCAGCCTGAGCAAGAGCGACCATCCCATCTACTAAAAATACAAAGAAAATTAATGGCCAACTAAAATATATAGAAAAATTAGCTGGGCATGGTGACAATATGCCTGTATCCGCGCACTCAGGAGGCTGATGCAGAAGGATCACTTAAGCCCAAGAGTTTGAGGTTGCTGTGAGCAGGGCTGACACCATGGCACTCTAGCCCAGGCAACAGAGTAAGAAGACTCTGTCTCAAAAAAAAAAAAAAAAAAAAAAAAAGATGGTAGACAGCTGGTACAATTCTAGATGGACAGAAGTTAATTTATTATATATAATGGATCTCGAATGGCTTAATTTTCATGGAGTGATTTAAAGAGTTAGAAGTTCTCAAAACTTAAGACAAAAATTGTTAGTTCCCTGTATACCCTTCCCCTACTTCATTTCCAGCTTCCCAGAAGCACTTTCAAAACTTTTAACTATTTGATAGTTACTTCTGCCAATAAGTGAAGAACCATGAGGAAGCACTTACTGGCAGAAGTAACTATCAAATAGTTAAAAGTTTTGAAATTTTACAATTATGTACTTTAGTATGGGTCTGGTTTCCTTCAATATGTTAGGCACTTGACAGTCCCTTGTAATCTAGAAAGTTCTGCCCTCAATAGTAGAAAATTTCCCTGACCTATTTCTTTGATGATTTTCTACTCTACATTTCATCTTTTCTTTTTTTCTCATGTTATTCTGATATTGGACTTTCTGGATAAATCCACTAGTTTTCTTATCTTTACTCTCCTATTTTGCATCTCTTTATTTTATACCTTTTATTCTACTTTCTAGTATATTTCTTCAACTATATCTTCCAATCCTTCTACAGTACAGGGTTTTTCATTTCTACTATATTAAATCACACCCATAAGTAAATAAATGCAATCAAAAACAATGAGATTTTTTTTTTTTACTTGTCAGTTCTGGCTAAAGTTTCTCATAATAGCTAATGTTGGCCAATTGAGGGAAAACAGTAAATGAAACCTCTTTGAAAGATAATTTTATAATAATATGTATCAAAATTCGCAAAACATACCTAACTTTTGACTCAGTAATTCTGCCTCGAAGATGGGAGTGAATTGCCGCGAGAGAAGTGTTTGTTGTTTTTTTTGTTGAGACAGTGGCAGTCTCGCGTTCTGTTGGCCAGGGCGTAGACGTGAGGTGCGCGTGGCGCGTCGCAGCCTAGCTCACAGCAACCTCGAACAGCTCCTGGGCTCAGAGCAATCCTCGCGGGCCTCAGGCTCGCCGAAGTAGCGTGGACTACAGGCATGAGTGCCACCGCGATGCCGCGTTAATTTGTACGTATAGGTAGGTATAATATCAGTGGCGCAATTAGTTGCTTTCGGGTTATAGTAGAGACGGCGTCTCCGCTCTTGCCACGGCGGTTGTTGAAGTCTGACCTTGAGCAATGGGCCGCCCGCCTCGGCCTCCCAAGAGCGAGGGATTACCAGGCGTGAGCACCGCACCCGGCCGTGGCCTCGAAGAGATTCGTAGCCATGCAGTGGGGGTTGTAGCGTGCGATTAATGTAAAGGATACAGATAGAGCAACGCGTTGATGTTGTTAATGAGCAAAGAGCAATAATCTTGAAGCGCCAACACGGAGAGAGGGGGGATATTAAAGCCGAGAGAGCATCCATAAAATGAGGAACAGATGCAAAAAAGCAAGATTGATCTGAGCTGTGCTAAATGATGTTTTGAGAGTGTGAGAGCGAGAGAGAGTAGATGAGGTAACGATAATTGGCTGGCGTGAGGCCGAGTAAGAGTCTAGAAGTTCCGGTAGAGCAG